TCAATCCTCATTCTACTCCATGGTTTTCTCCTTCTTGTGCGGCTGCTATATCCAATCGTAATCATTTTTTTAACTTTTTCAAAGAACAACTCTCTTGAGAACAAACGGCTATTTATTATTGCAAGAAATCGATGTAAAAAGGTGCTTTCTGATGCTAAACTCCATTATTCTCAGTTCACTAAATCTCGCATCTTATCACAGAAATTAGGCTCTAAAGACTTTTGTAAAATCTTCAACAGCATTATTAACAAGGGTAGATCTAACATTCCATCTCTCATTCATGGGACTGATCTTATTACCTCTCCCAAGGATAAGGCAAAACTATTTGCAAAGAACTTTTCTTCTAATTCCACTCTTGAATCTTATGGACATTCTCTTCCTTCCATTCCAGTCAAACAGGTTGACCCATTGTTAGACATTCAAATCACTCCGGCTTCTGTTGCTAAAGTCATATCTCAATTAAACTCATCTACAGCTTGTGGTCCAGACAACATTCCTGTCACAGTCTTGCAGAATTGTTCTCCAGAACTTTCTTCAATTCTCTCTAAACTATTTAACAAGTGTTTGACTGAGTCTTATTTTCCTGCTTATGGAAAATGGCATCTGTGGTTCCAATATTCAAAAACTCTGGAGAAAATTCTGACCCCTCCAAATATCGTCCGGTCAGTCTTCTTTCTGTTATTAGCAGGGTCTTTGAGTCTATGATCAACAAATTCCTCACATCTCATCTTGAGTCAAATAAACTACTGTCAGACAATCAATACGGTTTTCGATCCTCTTGCTCTACGGCCGACTTGCTAACTGCTGTAACTGAAAGATTTTATCGTGCATTAGATGGAGGCGGTGAGGCTAGGGCTATTGCTCTCGACATATCTAAAACTTTTGACAAAGTTTGGCATGCTGATCTTCTCCATAAGCTTGCTTCATATGGTGTTTCTGGGAAAGTTTTTGAGATTATCAAATCATTACTTTCTAACCGGTTTATTAAAGTCATCCTTGAAGGCCAACACTCTTCTTTATTTCCAGTAACTTCTGGGGTTCCCCAAGGTTCCATCCTGGGCCCTGTTTTGTTTCTTATCTACATAAACGATCTTCCTGACAACCTTTCATCTAAAGTAGCTCTTTTTGCTGATGACTCAACTTTATACTCCTGTCTTGACAAAAAGTCTTCTCTTTTCGATCGCCTAGAACAAGCAGCTGATCTTAAATCCGATCTCACTTCAGTAATAGATTGGGGTTCACAGTGGCTTGTGAATTTCAACTCTAACAAAACCCAGTTGTTTACTGCAAACAACTACCGTAATATGGTCAACATTTCTATATTAATGAATGGCAATCCTCTTACTGAGTCCTCCTCTTCATGTCTTCTTGGATTATCGCTTACTGCTGACCTTTCATGGAAACCATATATACAATCAATTGTTAAATTAGCTTCTGCTAAGGTTGCTTCTCTTTATTGTGCTTGCCATTTCCTTACTTCTGACTCTGTTCTCTACCTCTACAAATCTCTTATTCGTCCCTGTATGGAATACTGTTGTCATATTTGGGCTGGTTCTTCTAACGATTCACTTTCTCTTCTTGACAAGGTCCAAAAACGCATTGTAAATCTTGTTGGACCTGGACTATATGCTAAGCTTGAGCCTCTTTCCCATGGTCGTAAAGTTGCATCTCTTTCTCTTTTCTACAAATACTATCATGGTCACTGCTCAAAGGAGTTATCATCTCTAGTTCCATCAACTAAAATTCATTCTCGTTTTACTCGTCATTTAGCTAAGTCTTATTCGTTTACTGTATCTGTTCCTGCATGCTCTAAAAACTTTTATTCATCTAGTTTTTTTCCCCGCACTTCAATTCTTTGGAGCTCTCTCCCATCTTCATGTTTTCCTGACTCATACAACCTTCAACTTTTCAAGTCTTCTGTCAACCATTTCCTTGCTCTATAACTCTGTTCCTTTTTTTTCCTAGTAACTCCCAACTTAATAGTGGTTGCTTGCAACCTTGTTGGGAGTGAATGCAAATAAAAAATATATATATATATAGATATATATAGATATATACATATATATATATATATATATATATATATATATATATATATATATATATATATATATATATATATATATATATATATATATATATATATATATATATATATATATATATATGTGTGTGTATATATATATATACACACACACACACACACACACACACACACACACACACACAAGGGCTATTCTAGACCATTTTCGACAGCATTGACCGTATTTGGGCGCCGCCCAAATTCAAGTTTGAGGACTTTTTTTTTCCTTTTTTTTTTTTACGTTTTTTATGGCAAGTATTGCTATTTTCGCAAAAAAAAACGCCTATTTTCCGCTAAAGTTCGCCAGAACGAGGGTTACTGCCGCCCAAATTTTTTATAGGCCCTGATATATATATATATATGTGTGTGTGTATATATATATATGTATATATATGTATATATATGTTTATATATGTATATATATGTATATATATGTATATATATATATATATATGTATATATATATATATATATATATATATATATATATCTATATATATATATTTATTTATTTATATATATCAACCTTCTGGATAAGGGTTAGCATTCAGTAATGCTGGCTGATCAGCAAAAAATTGCCGACCTCATTTCTTTGTTTGGTGATGCCTAATGCCAACCTCTGCCAACAGGCAATTAATTGCCAACCTTATTTTTCCAAGGTTTGATATATATATATATATATATATATATATATATATATATATATATATATATATATATATATATATATATATATATATATATATATATATATATATATAACTAAAGTAAATTTAAAACAATTTTAAATCAATATGCATGCACAAACAAACCTGCTAAAATAGTTAGCGTTTTAAAAATAATAAATTTTTTTTAATAATATTGTAAAAACTAAATTTAAGATGTTTTATTTTGAGATTTAATAGAAACCTTTTTTTTTTTTATATATATATTTTTCTACCAATTTAAATTCTTTACTAAAATTATGACAATTTTTGCTTTTTTTTTTAGCTACCCAGTGTGAAGCTCAAAAAAGATTAAATCAACAGCAAGAGCAGCCTCCACCCCCACCTTCTTTCCAGCAACAGCAGCTACCACAAATTCCCTCCCAGTTTACCATACAACCTCCAGAAGTACATTTTTTTAAATTTTTATAATTTTTTTTTGGGAGGGAGGGTTATGGGGCCATCTCATGTCTAAACTTTATAACATAATCCTAAATGCTGAAAAAAAATGTTTATTTTTAGTAAGTCATGCTGGGCCTCAAAAGAAGCGAAACTATATAAAAATTTCAAAAATAGTTATTAATTAGTAAAAAATTTGTCATTTTGGATTTTACTGTATAGATAATGACTATTTTGTTGTTAACAGCAAAATTGCTGTTATGAACTTTATACCCATAGAGATTGACATTCCTATCAAACGACATAAAATATTGATTTGGCACTTTTATCTTTGAAATCATTTTTTTTATTTTTTACATTTAAAGTAAATTTTTTATTTTTCATTTTTTACATTTAGAGTACATTCTTGTGTGGTATCTAGATCTATTTTTTTTTTTGCATACATTATGATCCTCTATAATCTCCCATTATGATCAATTAAATAATTACATACATGCAAATATGTATATGTTTTTTATTTTTTTCATTTTATTCCATTTTGTTTTTTATAAATATTTCATGAATTTGAATGTTTTTCTATAAACTTTGTATTTCTATGAATATCTTTCATTGATATTTTATTACTTTAAATATTCTTTATAGATATTCTGATAATTGTTCAGACAATCCTTTGAATGTTTTATATTTTTAATAGACAATAAATGTTTTTATAGATATCCCGTTTTATATACTTTTATTCCGATCAATATTTTTCAAAGATATTTTTTATCTGTAGAGATCCCCATGTGAAAAAAAAAAAACAAGAAAAAACAACTTGTTTTTGAATCTTAAATAATCCTTAAAATAAAAACAGACAACTCAAAAGATTGCAATTTATATGAATCAGGAAAGCAAGATATAGGAAGCGAATTCCAAAGAAATGATGATCAAGGAAAAAAGCTAGACGAATAAGAGTTTTTGGAGCACTTAGGAACAGTCATAGAAAAAGGATGAGACTTAAATGAATGACGAGTAACACGAGAATGGATTTTAGTAGATGGCACAAGAAAAGTTAGTTCATTAGAGCAGTGCCCATTATAGTATATGTAGAAAAGATAAATAGAAGCAACATTACAACAATGTGATAATGTTTGGAGATTAGCTGCAAGAGCAGGTCCAACTATGCTTACAATGCGTTTTTGCACATTGTCTAAAAGAGAAATGTCAGTTAAAAGATCTGCCCCAGATATGTCAACAGTATTCCATACAAGTATGGATTTGAGATTTATAGATATAAAGAATAGAATTTGGAGTAAGAAAGTGTCGAGCTCAATAAAAAGATGCAACCTTACCAGATGCTAATTTATGAGTACATTACGTTTCATAAATTATTTTTACGATAACGATTGGCTTAAAAAAATTAAGTTTTATCTGAATTAAAGTTCACCAGTCACTGTGAGCCCCATGCTGTAGCAGAAGTGAGATCTTTTCAAGCTCAGATACCCCCTCCAAGCAATCAGAGAATGTTGGTTTCTTATCATGACAAGAATAAATGGTAGTGTCATCAGCGAACAATGCTACCTTAGATGTGAGAATATCTGGAATATCGTTAATGTAAATTAAAAAGAGTATAGGACCAAGGATTGAACCTTGATGATCCCCTGAAGTTACAGGATATGAAGAAGAGTGCTGTCCATCAAGGGCAACTTTTATACTACGATTGGAAAGGAAGGATTCAATAATCTTAAAGATGTTTCCAGATACACCGTAAGAAGAAAGCTTATGGAGAAGACCAGCATGCCAAACTTTATCAAACGCTTTAGAAATGTCAAGAGCAATGGCCTTAACCTCTCCACCTTTATCTAATGCACGATAAAACCTATCGGTTATTACTGATAGCAAATCAGCCGTAGAATGAGAAGATCGAAATCCATATTGATGATCAGAAAGTAGGTTATGAGATTCGAGATAAGAGATTAAGTGTTTGTTAATTAAAGATTCAAAAACCTTGCTTATGATAGGAAGAAGACTGAATGGGATGGTAGTTAGGCGAATCGGATCGCTCTCCAAAATTTTTAAAAATAGGAATAACAGATGCTGCTTTCCAGCAGGCTGGAAAACAAGACTCTGATAAGCACTTTTTAAATAGTTTTGAAAGGATAGACGACAGCTCTGAAGAACACTTGTGCAAAACTATAACAGGTATGTTGTCTGGACCACACACTGTAGAAGAGTCTAAGCAGGAAATCACTTTAGATATATAATCTGGAGTGATATGAATGTCAAGCAATCGATTAACCTGTTTAAAAGCTATATCAGGTATAATTAAAAGATGATAATGATGAAAAGTTCTTAGCAAACAGTTCAGTTTTGTCTTTAGGTGAGGTAACAAAGTCTGAACCATACAAGAGAGGTGAAATAACAGATTTGCCCTTATTATTGATACTGTGATAGGTTCTCCAGAAGTCACAAGAGCCTAACTTTTGTGATGAAATACAAGATTTTATGATCTGAGAATAGTGAGCTTTGACGTTAGACAAAACCTTTTTATGGTTTCTAGCATGAGTAACAGTTGTCTGTTTTCTGAAGAATTGTTTTGCTGATAGATATGAAAGTAATGGTTTCGATTGGAATTTGCAGTAGCACAAGGTGAGAAAAACCATGGCGAAGAGTGAGGCTTGACCTGATATTGTTGAGAGGGAATAAAAGATTCCATGCCGGCCTGAATCCATGAAGTTATGTAAGAATGTAAGAAGCACATATTTTAGCAGGAAGATAAAAGATTTCTACCCAAGGGCCATCACAAAGAAAATCATAGAAAGAGTCCTCGTTAGCTTTAACGTAGTTGTAAAAAGTGCAATAATAAGGGGATTCTGATGAAGAAGGAGAATAAGATAATAGTTTTAAAGAGATCAAACCGTGATCAGAACCATCTAAAGGTGAATGTGGAGAAACTGAGCACTGACTAGGATCAGAAACAAGACATAAATCGAGTAGAGAAGGTAAATGATTCAAGTTGTCTAGAAAGCGAGTTGGAAAGTTGGCTGTTTGAGTGAGGAATTAAGAAAGGCAAAAATTATGGGCTTTAATGCTTGCAGAGTCACTGACACTAGAGCGAAGCCATTCAGTGTGATAAGCATTAAAGTCACCTACAACAACAATATTTGCTGATGGATATAGAGAGAGGGCTTGGTCAATTCGATCACAAATAACATCAAAAAGAATGCAGTCTTGAGGTGGAGAGCGATATAGAACAAAGAGAAAGGCGATAGAGTGAATTGGTCTTAAACGAAAGCACATAAAAGAGTAGTCTGTGAATTCAAACCTAGTTTTCAGACAAATGAGTGAGTTCTTACAAATGTAAATGCCCAGGCCAAGCATGTGAGTAGTAGAGTCTTTACAAATTAAAGAAGATAACCATCAACACTAAGATCACAAGATGAGACAGCTGAACTCAAATATGAAATAAGTTTTATGTTAATTAAGCTTTCCTAAACAAATTATTTATTGAGATGTTAGCAAAAAACTTTATAGTTTTTAATGCCATTTTTTTACTTCTTGATTGTAGTTAATACAAAATTTTTTTTTCAAAATTTCTTTCAAATTGCACACACATAAACACACACACACACACACAAATTTATATATATATATATATATATATATATATATATATATATATATATATATATATATATATATATATATATATATATATATATATATATATATATATATATATATATTTTATTTGCATTCACTCCCAACAAGGCTGCTAGCAACCACTATTAAGTTGGGAGTTACTAGGAAAAAAAAAGAACAGAGTTATAGAGCAAGGAAACGGTTGACAGAAGACTTGAAAAGTTGAAGGTTGTATGATTCAGGAAAACATGAAGATGGGAGAGAGTTCCAAAGGATTGAAGTGCGGGGAAAAAAACTAGATGAATAAAAGTTTTTAGAGCATGCATATATATATATATATATATATATACATATATATATATATATATATATATATATATATATATATATATATATATATATATATATATATATATATATATATATATATATATATATATATATATATATATACACACTATAGTTATAAAAATTAAAAGTTATTAAGAGTTTTATATATTTTTAAGTATCAAGCTATTGCTATTTTCTTTTTTAAACCAATGAATGCTTTTTAGGTAATTGCTCCTTCGCATCGAAATGAGTTTGATTTGGAAGAATTTAGAGTTTTGTTACAAAAGTTAATCCTAGCCTGCACAAAAGATAATATACAGGTTTAATATTATACTTGTTATGTGGCTGATAGTAAAATTGTTTTAATAATATGATCTTATTTTAAAATTTTAAATAGTTTTAGAATTATTTTAGAATGGTAAAACATGGATTGTGGAGAATTGTAAGAGCTATGAACAATTCACAGCAATCGGAAGATTTTTGTTTCAAAGGTATAATTTAAATTTGATAAGTTTATTGTTATTTTCTCTAGTAATTTCACCTCTCCAAGGTGAATTAGGCTACATTTTTTTCTTTCTAAACTTTATTTAAAACCCTCTCTCAACCTTAAACTCTGAAATGCAAATAAACAAACATGCTGCAATCAGAAACTGATAGAGGGCAATACTTACAGAAGGGTATGGAGCCAAGTGTTCCACTTTAAGTCTACTACTGCTTATTTAGCTAGCATTTATACAAAAAATAAAACACTAGCAAGTTAACAGAAACTTTTTTTGTTGAAGTTTATCATATTACCAATTGGATATAACAATTAATATAGGATATGAAGGAAACTTAATATACGATATAATGAATATATAATAATACTTAATATATGTTTTTAAAAACTTAGGTATATAAAATTCGTCGAATGGTCACATGACCAGTGAATGCCTGAGGGAAGAAATGAAATACATTAGAATAAAGGAAAATTATTTATCGAACAAAGCATATTTTGACAGTTGTCAAGACGAAAATAAAGATTAATAGAAGAATATTTAAAAATAGATAAGACAGACAATGCACCTAAAACAGTACTTAACAATAATAATAAAAAAATTATTTGTTTTATAAACACTAGTATGAACGAAGATATAAACAAATATAAAACCAAACAAAAACTTATAAAACAAAAAATTGATTACAAAATAAAAAGTATGCTTACAACAATGGAAGGCCTCAGAATGGAAAAAAAAATGCTAATCTGTAAACATAATTTGTGTAGTGATTAAGTAATAAACATCGCGTCTATTATTACTGGCGTTTCAATAAGGATCAGCACTTATAACTAGTTTATCCCATCAGACAAATGTCATCACCACTTATGCTTTACCCCGCGACTTAGGCCTATTACATACTGAAGTAAAAAAGGACTCACTACAAATAGCCAAAAGCCAAGCACCCCCAAATTTGTAAAGCATCAATTTTTTTTTAATGATATGATATTAAAAGTGTAGATCTACTAAACAAACAAAAATAAAAATAACTAAATAAATCACTTACCATACCACTGAAAGAAAACATGAAAACACAATAAATTAAAATTCTAATAGAAACACAAAAAAGCTAATAAAATTACTTTTAAAACATATAAAACTATATAGGTACTTTTACCATAAACAAACCTAAGACAATCAGAAAGCACTATTTTTCTCTAAATTTTTTTAAAATCAACAAAACAACAATAGTCTTTAATAAACTCTAATGCTGTCATAGATACCTAATTTGAAATATGTTAACCAATCAAAAGTGTAAGAAAATGAGCAACCCGCACAACCCAAAATCATTACATGATTAAATAATCTATGAAAGCGGGGGGAAAAAATGTCGCCTGCATAAATGTGAACATGTAGTGAAGGATATAAGAAATTCTCTGAATAATAATAAAAGAAAAATTATGCATGTGAAAGTTAGAACAAAGCCGAGTAACGAATGCAAGATGATACAACACAAAAACCCCCGCAACAGTAACAGAATGAAAATCAGCAGATAAATAATTTTAAAAAGACTAACTAAATACTGTAATAAAACCAGATAAATTGAAGCCAAATGAGTGATTAGAAATTTATTTTGGGTGCTATAACAATGATATAAGTCGTGATATAAAAACGATGTACAAAGCGGGAAAAAATATTAGAAGTTTTCTCTACGATCCGAATTAAACAAATTTTGAGACCATAACAAAATAACAAGGAAAAAACATATATATATATATATATATATATATATATATATATATATATATATATATATATATATATATATATATATATATATATATATATATATATATATATATATATATATATATGAATCCTAAAATGAAAACTCAATCACACATGATAACCACATATACATAACATACAAATCTATATCTACATTTCAACCACATATCTATTAAAGAAAATATTATCTAAATAAGGATGAGTTCAAACAAAGATAGTTTAGACAAACGTCATTGTCAGACAAACGTCAGTCACATGGTAAAGCTTAAGTGGCAATGACGTTTGTCTGACGGGATAAACTAGTTATAAGTGCTGATCCTCATTGAAACGCCAGTAATGATAGGCGCAACTCTGAGGAGATGTTTATTACTTTATCAATTTTTTTTTTATAAGTTTTTGTTTGGTTATATATTTGTTGTATATCTTCATTCATATTAGTGTTTATAAAACAATTTATTTTTTTATATGTATTTTTTTTTTAATTATTGTTAAGTACTGTTTTAGGTGCATTGTCTGTCTTATTTATTTTTAAATATTCCTCTATTATTCTTTATTTTTGTCTTGACAACTGTCAAAATATGCTTTGTTCAAAAAATAATTATCCTTTATTTTAATGTACTTCATTTCTTTCCTCAGGCGTTCACTGCTCGTGTGTGTCCACTTGGCAAATTTTATGTCAAAGTTTTTAAATAAATATTAATATATGATTTGGTAGAAACTTCTATAGATGTTAAACTTCATTAATATACTTTAATAGTTTTAAAGGTAAAAAATAAAATTAACTAAATTCAAAATAAATATATTTAATCTAAGAAAAGGCTATAGAAAAGATTCATTCTGGTTTCTTCAATTTTTAATATGCTACTATTTTTGTGTTTTCAAAAGTAAAAAGGGATTATTCACCTTTATGCATTTTTAACTAATTTAAATTTTTTACTTGTTACACATTTGCGTGTCTCTAAAGTTACTTTTTTTTTTAAATACTTTAAAGATTAAAAAAAAAAATTTTTATCTAAAGTTCTAAAGAATAGTACTTAAAATTACTGAATTTAAAATTGTAGTTAAAAAGAATGTTTTAACTTGTGAAAAAACAAACAGATTAAAAAAATTAAAAAACTGCATTAAAAATATATCAACCTTTTGATTTTAAACATAACAAAAATTTTTGTTCTGTGTAAGTACTTGATCATGGAAACTATGATTTTTAGATATTTGATATTCTCGGATTGCAGAAGTCTTGATGATTTGAGATGTTTTATGCACCAGTTTAAAATAATCTGTTAACACAAAAAAAAAAGTCTTTAAGCTTAGCTTCTAAAGAAAAATCTGTTAGCTCTACTAACTAAAAAGCTTATTGATGAATCGAAATAAATCTCTTAGTAATAATAATTTTACTAAAGTTCACTGAAGTTTATTTGAGTGAATTTGATTTACTGATGTCAAATGTTATGATAACTTTACTGGATGTCAAATATTATGATAACTTTACTGGATATCAAATGTTATGATAATTTCATTTGATATCAAATGTTATGATAATTTTGATTAGGGTATTATAGCAAGTTCAACAAACTCATCCATGGTGGTAGAACTGGGAATTCAAAGAATAATAGGAAAGCTTATAGATGAGTTGCGAATATTTACATTCTTGTTTTTTAAAAAACATTTGTGTATACTTGTAGGCAGAAAAAAATGTAAAGATTTGTGTATGTTTTGTTAGGAAATTTTTTCACTTATTGATTTTTTAACTAGAATTAAATTATTTCAACTAGTTGTTCTGTCATTAGTTACTCAAAAAGTTGTGAAAACTAATATGGATTTAAATATGGATTTATGTTTCTTTTGCAAAATCAACTTTTTAAAGAAGAAGACATAGAGACTGGATTAAGGCTAATTCATAGCGTAGAGACTAAATTAAAGCTATCCATAACATTTCATAACATTGAAGTTCCTCAAATTTTTATTTCGATTCAAAAAAGAGAAGAGAATTATGCTAAAAAGAAATCCAAAAAAGAGAAGAGAATTATGCTAAAAAAAAAAGATCCAAAAAAGAGAAGAGAATTATGTAATTAATTAAGTATATAAATGAGGATCCTTATCAACATCATCACCTACGACATAGAGCTTGATAACTATACTGAGAAAATAAATTAACATTAAACCACCTTACAATAAGTCTACTATTTCTAAATATTTTCAACTCAATATTTCATATTTATGAAGCGGAATTTTAAACTTTTATACTTTTAATTAATACAGTACTAAACTTGATTGAAATATTGAACTTGAAAAATAAGCTCAACTTGAACAAAGTAAACATATTTCATACAAAAAATCTAACATCAGATGAACAAAAAAAAATCAGATGAACAAAAAAAATCAGATGAACAAAAAAAAACAAAGATTTTTAATGGTAATTTAGCTCTTAAAAAATGTTAAAACTTATTTCACTCATGTTTGTTGTTGGAAGACCATCTTTAATTTATTCTTGTAAAGCACAATATAATGAAAAAAAATTTAACTTTAAGAAAGCAAACTTGGTTTAGCTATCAACATATCAATACCATTAATTTAATTAGTATATAATAAAAACCAGCTGGGGCAATCAGTTTTTTATCTCCTGACTGGGGTGATTGTGTATTAGACAGATTACTATATCAGAATAAACTTAACCGGGTGGCTATATTCTTGCTGACAGAGTGCGGATTCCTATAACTTACTGCTGTTTTGAAAACTATTATGTTTTTTTTTTATTGTCAAATTATATGATTGTATCTTTATGTTATATATTTATTAATTTGCTGAATAAAGCCTTCTATACTAGCTTAAGTTTAATTTACTTTTATTAATTCACTACAAAAAGGACTTGATATTAAAGATGCTATTGGGGCAACATAAAAAGTCATTAATACTTTTATAAAAGACTATTATTATTTGGACGCAAAATTTAGACAGCTTTTTAATGTTCATATACATAATATTTTTGAATTGAAGAATTTGGTAAAATAAAATGTTCAATTTCACAATTTATTAGATAATACCATGTTGAATATTTGATCATTTTAATATGAGTTTAATTGATTTATGTAAATGTATATAATCCTTAACTTTTATTAAATTTTCCTGACTTTCCGATGTAATATTAAAACTTTATCATACAAAGCAAAAAAAATCTTACATAGCATATTTAACTTTACCCCAAAAATATAAATTTGCTTCATAAGTCCTCTCGTTGACTTTTAAATAACCATGTTATTATGAGACTTTAAATATACATTTTTTTCAATCTTATTTTGATTGTCAATTCAGAAAATAACTTATAGTTTGCAACTAAATCAATTAAAATTCCAAGAGTTTTAAACAATTTATTTAATTTCCCGACTTTAGCAGGATGTCCAGGTTGCTAGCCACCCTGATTATTTTATAAATAATTAAAGTAAATTTATGGCGTAGTATTAAATTATTATTATAATAAAATAGTAGAAAAGTTAATAATATGAATTATTAACTTTTCTACCATTTTCTGTTGATTTCTCACTACTTCTTGTTACAATAAAAAATATTGTTGGCAATGTTTTTAACCTTAGTGTTTACCTGCATATCTGTTTATCCTCACCTGCATCTCGAATGCTATTTTACTTATACTTAAAAATTTACTACTTATATATATTTAATTATAGTGTTGTTATTTATTAAATAACAAAAGATTTTTAAAAGAAATATGAATTAAAATAGCTTTTCATTGTTTTTATTTTATGAGATCAAAGTAAGAAGTTCAATGTAAGAATTTCGTTGTTGTTATTTTACGAGATCAACTTGAATATAAAATGATAAAAAATAAAATATATACATAAAATTTTTTAATAGCAATCAAAGTTTATAAAAATAATTATAGCTTTTATTTTTAAAATAAAATAAAAATGTAACTAATTATTATTCTTTCAATCATTTTTCAAAAAAAAAAAAAAAAAAAAAAAAAAAAACGTTTTATTTAAAAATATAAAAGAAATGCAAAAAATAATTTGAAAATGTTTATATATTATAAAGTTATGATAAATGTATACTTGTAAAGTTTTAATGTTTTCTGCCTACAAGTATGCAGGCGCATGTTGTTTACAAAAAGATGTGGCAAGGAAACTTATTTAATAATTTATAGGTAATTAATTGAGTAATAGGTTTTAAATAATTACCATAAGACATTACTTACAAACTTGCCTTCATCTCAGCATTGTTATTGTTTATAAATTCTATTCCCACGCAACATTGGCAACTTCATGCAAGTAATAAATAATCTGTTCTTTTAACTACTTACTCAACTTTTGTTTATTATCTAACAATAAATAAAATTGTACTTTATTATTTGTAATGCTACTCAAAATTAAATTTAAAAGAAAAAAGTTTTTATAATTGTAAATTTAATTATAATTAATGTGAAATTATCAAGGCATCTTAATTGTAATTTTTTAATTATTTTTTTTTTAGAATGCTTGAAGAATCTCTTCCTTTCCAACAAAAGTTACATATTGTCTACCTTACTAATGATTTGCTACATCACAGTAGAAAAAAAGATGTACCTCTGTTACAAGAGGGTTTACAGAACTACATTCTGCCAATTGTAGCAATCGTTCACAATGGAGAAGCTGCTGACAACCAACAAAAACTTGCTAAAGTTGTCAAGATTTGGGAAACACAAAAATTTTTTAGTCCAGATATATTAGAAGTATTTCTTTAAATTTTATTTAATACATTAAGAGTTATTAATATTTTTTAATATTATTATATATTTTTTGAATTATTTTAGAAATTATGTTTGAGTGATAAGTTATATGACACACAATTGGATATCATTGAAAAAGAGAGAGAATATATGAGGATTGAAAAGGATAAAAAACAAAGAGAAGAACAAGAACAAAGGCAACAAGAGGAAGAGAAAAATGCATCTGAAGAACTGAGTAATCGAGGTAATTTCTAGTTTTTATTTCACAACTCAATCAGTCTTTTTACTCTTTAACGCTGCTGAAAAAAAAGTGAGATAAGATAAGTGAGATAAGAGCATAAAAAATCTGGCTAAATATTATGGATTAAAAATATAGATCAAACCTTGACGAACATAGCCATGGTGGGGATCAAACTCAGAACTTGTCACTTATGAGGCAAGCGCTATACCACTACACCACACCGCATAATCTTTTAATTACTTATTATAAGTTTAAATTATAGTTATCAATATCTTATTGTTTTGTATCCATAATTAAATTCTGGCCTCATTTTTACTTGAAAAGGTTTTTTTTACAGAAAAAAGTTTTATTTAAGCTTATTAAATCTGAAATATGTCTAACACTTAAGTTTTTTTTATTTGTTTATTTGGGTGCATATTGTATTTATGAGGGAAAAACCACATTCAGTCTCATAAAACTATGTTCAGCCTCATAAAACTGCATTCAGCCTCTACTTAGCTTATTGCAGTTGTGTTGATGTTTTTTTGATTGTTTCAAAAAAATTTTACTCTCTCTTAAAATATTGTCTATATAATTTCTAAAATCATTAACACAGATTTTAATGTTACGAGTTTCCTAACATTCTCTTCTCCTAACATTTTTTTCTCTTGCTTGCCATGGATTGGTAAAATTCATTTAAATTTCAAGTAGGTGGTTCAAAAGTGTTAACCAAGGCTAAATTTTGTTTACTGTTTAATGTTAAATTATTAAGAATTTTTTCATTTGTTTCTTTAGAATTTATAAGCCTGTGTCATTTTTTTAGTTAAACTTTCAAATAACTTTTTACAAGAAAGATTAATAATCTGTTAAAGGTTAAAAATCTGTCAAGATACTGTTTTAATTTTTTTTGTTCTTGTATAACATATAGCATTATTTTAGGATACAACATGTACGATCATCCTCAACATCCTCAAGCGCAAGATTATCCTCCTCCACCTATGCCTGGACACTTTCAACAGTTTCAGCAAGTTAGTTTTTTTTAATTATTCCTATAAACTTTAAAACTTCAGAAGATGTTTGTATTTTTTATGTATATAATTTTTTTAATTTTAAGTTTAATCAATGGCATCAACCACCTCCTCCACCTGTAGCACCACAGGATCCATATCATTTTTATGGATCAAATTATACACCTTCAGTTCGCCCACCTGCACCTTTTCCACCCCCTAGATTTCCTTTATCTGACCAAGGTATAAATCTTAACTATAAGTTGTTTTTCAACTATTAGTTTATTTAGATTTTTTGTTTTATTTTGAAACATAAATTATTATTTTTTTTAATTTTTTGTTAAAGGAAATTTTGATCAACAACCACCTGGTTATCCTCCATATGATATGCCACCTCAATTTCAGAATTCGGAAATACAAACATTTGATTACAGCCATCAGCGAGTTCCACCTGGTCCAACTCCAATGACATTTGATTATGAACATGGCAGAGCTCATCATCCACCTGAACAAGAAGTAATGCATGATCCAACAATACCAATGGCTCCATATTATGATCTTCCTGCTGGCCTTATGGTTCCACTAATAAAGGTATGTGCAATCTGCTTTTTCTACCCTTTCATATTGTGAATGTTGTGATGATGATGATGATGATGATGATGATGATGATGATGATGATGATGATGATGATGATGATGATGATGATGATGATGATGATGATGATGATGATGATGATGATGATGATGATGATGATGATGTAAATTTTGCGCCTTCATTTTTTGCTTTTTGCATTTACATTTATGTAATAATTAGATATGGGATTGTGAATATAATCCAATAGATCCAAAAGATCTTCGATTGCCTATTCCACAACCTCCAAGTGAGAGATTACTGGCAGCTATTGAAGCATTTTACAGTCCTCCTTCCCATGAAAGACCAAGAGACAGGTCTTTTTATTTTTTTAATGATATTTTAAGTTATTTTGTTTTATTTTGTCTTCACATTGTTTGAACTTGGAATTCCAGATATTAAAGTTTAATAATAAAGTTTAATATTTTCTGGATATTCAAATAGTTTTCTGGAAATATAAGTTACAATTTTTTTTTTTTTTTTTTTACATCAAAAATCACATCAAATAAATAAAATAGTAAAAATATTGTTATTCGATTACTTTACGTTATATTTAATTAGGTTCAGCATTATTTGTATGCATGTATAAATATTTTTTTCTTATATTTGTACACATATATTTGTGATTAGTTAAATTGAATATTTCACCTAAAAATCTAGTTTTATTTAATTTATTAATTTTTTTAATTCAAATTATATTAATTTATAAACTTTATTTAAATAAGTATTGAAAAAAAAACTTTTATATAAAAGAATGCCTGCCAAAACCCTTTTCTTTTATATAAAAGAATGCCTGCCTAAACCCTCGGGCAATTTATGTACACTCCACTGCACCTATTTATATATCCCTATTTGACTCAGTTGATGTATGTATACTCCTCTGTGACTACAGCTATAACAGTTGATTTATGTACATATTGATGCACATATTCTTTGAAATTAAAAAAATATATATACATCAATAGTTTAAAAACATAAAACTTGAAAATTAAAAAAAAAAATTTTTTTAAGTTTTGGTATGAAGGACTTGAACTTGTAACCTTGCCAGCCACGCCTCATTATCATTGTAACATCCATGCCACTAATTTACTAATTAAAAAAGTTAAAATATTGAAATATTTTGTCTGCAAATAGTTTTAATATTACGTGCTCATTAAATAATATAATAATTAGTGTGTACAAGTAATTAATTTCTTTTCAAACATCTGAGATATTCTTAGTTACACTTTAAAAATTGCATTTTTAATTAAAAATTGCATTTTTAATTCTTTATATTTATTATTTCTTAAAAATATTTTTTGGATATTTTTAGAAAAAAATTTTCTGGGTTTTTAAAATATGGTCAGAATAATTCCTGATTATATCACTTAGTTACATATGGTTTTATTACATAAAGTTTTATTATTTATAGTATTTCTCAAATGATAAATATAAGTGTAAGATCAAAAAGAATTGTCAAATGAAAACTTGCTTTTGTTAAAAAAAAAAATACTATTATTTTTTTATACTGTACATCGCTTTTATTGTTCATTAACAAATTAATCAATTTGATTGTTTAATTGAATCTCACTTTAAAGGGCAGTAACCAATAACCTAAATGTAATCTTTTTATTTTAAATAAACTGGAAATGCCAACTTATCAATTAACTTTATTTGTGGTGTTTTTTTCATATTATACTTGATTCATCTAACATTAATCACCTTTGTGTCACCACCTTTATGACATGATACAATATTGTTATATTATTTCACTTTGTTACATAAAATTCTGTTTTTCAGCAATAACATTTAATTTAATTTTTAATGATTAAAATTTTGATAATTAAATTATAAATTAACTTTTTAAAGTTCTCAAATCATCAATAATATTTATTCAATCAATTATATGATTTATTTGTAGAAAATTTTTTAAGCTTTAGAAGCTTTAATACTTTGTTTAATTTTTTTTTTTTTTTTTTTTTTTTTTTTTTTGAAATTTTAAATTAAATCAGAGCTTAAAATTTTCATCTTTTCATCTTTAGTGAAAAAATTGCAAATGAATTTTAGATCATAATCTAATGTCATCATTTGGTTTAGCTCAACTTGAATAATTATTTAGAACAGCAAAATGTTCTCAAGGCAGTTTATATACCCCTTCTTGACCTGCTTTACTTGCCAAACACAAATGTTTTTGCATCATTAACTCTTAAACAAAATCTTTAAAAGTTGAGTTTAAAACTTAATTTTAAATAGTCATCCCTTTTTATTTGCTTTTAAACTTAAACTATAGTTTTTCATTATTTTTTTTCACATTTTGTACAACATAGCAAAAAGTGTGAATACCAAATGTTTGTCTAAAAAAAGTTCACACATTTTTTGTAATTTTTTTAAATATATTTGTTTTGTTTTTTTTGTTTATTGAAAATTCTTTTAAAAATAACTCATAGATGTCACTAACTTAAGTCCTGATGTCACTGATGAATGTCACTAAGTAGATATGTGGCAAAGTCCTCCTACACTATGGTTACAAAAAGTTTAAGTTCATGTTTTTAGAATAAAAAGAACTTAACTTAAATTAAAATACAAAAAATATATAACTTTAAATAAAATATACAAAAATATGAATGCTAAGATTTATTAAATCAGGTTTTTAACTATTGAACAATAAAGTTCAATTTTTTTTTATCTTTACTCTCATTTTTGTTTTATTATGGGAAATCTTTTTAAATAAAGTAACAACTAATAATTGTCTAATAATTATGAATATTTAATTTAAATTATAGTGTTTTTTTTTGTTTTTTAATAATTTAAAAAGAGTGAGTTTCCATATAACCACAGGCTAGTAAATATTTACGCATTAAAAATTTAAAAAATCATATCAAACTTATTTTTAAACCATTTAATGCTTTGTTTAAACATTTATGTAAAAAATCATCAGCAGTGATTTTAAAAGTGTTTCAATAATAAAATATTAGTATTTCCTTGTAACAGCTTTCAAAACCATTTTTCTTTTTTTTTTCAACAAAATTCATTATTTTTTGAGTATAATTTTAATGATTTTTATACTAGTTAAAAGTTTCTATGTTATTTATTTTTAACATATAGCGCGTTTTAGTAATGTTAATAGTCTTATTATGTCAGATAAAATGGCTAAAAATAATACCTGATTAAATGTTTAATATTTCTAGTAATAATGCAAGTTGTTTTGTTAATTTTTATGTTAATTTTTATTAAAGTCAAGGATGGGAAAAGAATGGACTTTTTGAGTTTTACAAAGCCAAACTTAAGTACATTAAGGATAAAGAGCGCAATCTTTCTACGATTGACCGATCTCTTTCCCCGCCATCTAGTCGATCCCCATCTCCTGAATCAGCTGGTAGTCCTCTTGTAAAAGAGAGAAAAAAATCCAGAAGCCCTAGTCCTGCACGTTCTCGTAGTAGGAGTAGAGATAGACAAAGGTATAATTTAAATACATTATTTTAATTTTAATTTTTCTTTCTTAGTTTTTAATTTGTTTTATTTTAGTTTTATACTGATTAGGTTTTATTTAAATTTAAATATAAAAAATAAAACTGCACCAATCTTTTAGGTCAACAAGTCCTAAAGAAAAGTCACAAAGCAAGTATGTGTTTTAAATGTGTTTTTTTCAAATATTATTTTTGTGTTACTATATGTTGCAGAACCTTTAAAATGAATGATTTTTTTAAGTCGACGAAGTGCTTCAAAAAGTCGCTCTAGAAGTCCTGCTCGAAGGTATTTTTATTGTTTTTTTTTTTTTTTTTGTTTTTTGTTTTTTTAATTTTCTATAAGATCTTGTTAAAATAAAAATTCTCTTTAGGTCCCGAAGTAGATCATACTCACGGTCTCACTCACGATCTCGCTCTCGGTCTCGATCAAAATCACGATCTCCACCACGCAGGAGTCCACTTAAAAGAAGTCCTACACCACCTGAAAGCTTTGTGTACATTCTTAAGATATATTTTTATATAGAAACTCTTTTTAAACTTTTTTCTTGTTTTTATTTCTTTATATATGTATATATGCATTCATATGCATATACATATATGTGTATACATACATACATACATACATACATACATACATACATACATACATACATACATACATACATACATACATACATACATACATACATACATACATACATACATTCATACATACATACATACATACATACATACATACATACATACATACATACATACATACATACATACATACATACATACATACATACATACATACATACATACATTTTTATATATGCCTAATTATTTTCAGTGGTTTCACACCAAGGCCTATGGAATCAAGAATTGATGATTCTAATGTTGGTCATCAAATGTTAATGAAAATGGGTATGTAAGTTCCTTTAGGAACCATAAATTAATATTCTTTGTGCAATCATATTTATGATTGAAAATTTGTAATTTTTATTTGTCTATGAAAAAATGTTGTGAGTTTTCACTATTTTACCAAATTTTCTGAAGTCTGTAACCAAACCTTTTTTATGAAATATAGTATTTACTTATTTATGATTTCTGATTATTTATTCTAATGCAATATGTTGTGCAATTTGTTATGCAATTTTAAAAGTCTAGAGAAATGCATTTTCATAAACGTTTTTTAAAAATTTTAGATTATAATTTAAGTGTTTTAATTTCTTCATAGGATGGGGAGGACAAGGATTAGGGAAAAAAGAAACTGGAATTGTTAACCCTATTAAAGGAGGTGAGATCAGAGATAGACAAGATAAATTTAAGGTAAATTGATTAGTAATAATTTTAATTTCTTTTTTTTTTTTTTTGAAATCATTTAAAATTACAGCATTTCAAATGTCTTCAAATAAGGTTTAAAGTTAAGTTTTAAATTTAAATTTTAATTATTTTAACTATTTGAATTTCATTCTTAAAGTTCTTTTATGTTTATTTATCATATAGCAAATTTTTCAAATTAAAATTTAAAAAGATTCTCAAAATTGTTTATATTATGATTAATTTCAAATTGCAAGTGACCTATAGCTCAATCAACTCTACAAGACAATAACAAAAGAGTGTTCATGTATATAGACAGTCCAAGTTATCAATAACAAAAGAGTGTTCATGTTTACAGACAGTTTAAGTTATCAATAACAAGAGTGTTCATGTTTATAGACAGTTCAAGTTATCATTTTATTGCCAATGACTTGATCGTCAAAGTCTGTTTGCATATTAAAAATATTAGGCATTAGAAAAATAAAGGAAAGTATGTGCCAGATTTTTTCCAGAAACTTTACCGAAACAATTTTCCAGATTTTAAAATATGACCTGGATGATCTATGATAATGATAAAATATAAGGCATTAGTTTCCTAGAATTAAAACTTTTTAATTTTATAAATCTAGTGTCTTGGATTACAATATTTATAGATTTTAGGGATGCTTAGGTTAAAATTGCTATATTAATTTTTAACTTACATTGAATTTTAAGTCTCTTATATTCTTAGTACTCACTTGTAGCATTTTTAGATAAAACGAATTAAAACTTGTAATCTGACATTTTAAATATAATTTAAATATAGATTCGTTTATAAAAAAATTTCAAATAAACTTCCAAAAAGTTAAAAAAAAAAAAAATTTCAATTTTGTGATCTAAGTGAGTTGATTATTGAAATCTAAAGATCCTACTAAGTCCATTTTTAAAAATCACTAATAATGAAAATTAGTTAATAAGTTTTTATCAAACATAGTTATATCTTTAATGATAATAAAATTTGATTTTAACAAATTGTGTTGATCTCAACAAATTAACAACTACTTATCCTGAAAGCTACATTTTCTTGACATTTTTACTAATCATCTAATAAATAAAATTATGATATTAAATAAAATCTGATTAGATATTAATAGATTTAAAAATGTTATGTAAGAAAAAAAAAAGTAGTTACTCATAGAATTAAATAATTTGTAAAAACTAGTTGCAAGTTTTAATTTCTCACCAGAATTAATATAATTTTTACCGCTATTTTTTTCTAGATTGACGATGTTACCCTATTAACAAACATATAACGCTTTATTATACAACTTGATGAAAATATTAATAGACATAGTATATTAACAAAACTGCTACTTAAGTAATTAAATAGATTCACCTCTTTATTAATTAACTGAAGTAGAATAGATTGCAGCCTAAAATTAAAAGACAGAGTTTGGTGCTTGATTGAAAAATCTTTATAGTTACATACTATATATAGTTACTCAATGCAACTAAGGCATGGTACACGTTTTTCTGAACAATAATATAAGTTTTTTCAATTATTATATATCTAAGTTTTTTCATCAAAAAGTATGACATATTTGGTATGTATGGAAAGATTATTTTAACCACTATTATAATCTGGTAAAAGTAATGCGATTATATCAAATCGTCAAGCGTAGTTTTATTTAGAAAAGATACAGTTTTCAACATAAAGTACCTTGGGGCTTGGCTATAGATAAGTCTATTGATTTGATTTTTTTTATAAAGCACATAGTGGTGTTTGTTTTCAATGAAGCTAACTTGACATTTATAATCAGACATTATTTGGGAAAATTATCCATGAAAAACCATTTTTTAATGAAAGTTGAAGTTATTATTTTCAATACCACACCTAAATAAGTTTGTTTAACAATAATGTCACGTTAGATTCAGATAAACTATGGTAGTGTTAATTTTTCTACAAAAGTCGTTTTTGGATAAATAATCATATCTTTTAGCCCCATTCAAAAAACTGTTTTCAGTATTTATTATTCTTTTTTGAAATACTCGGGACTCATTTTGAAAAAATAATTTATTCCATTCAGAATACGCAAACAATTAAAAAAACAGAAGCGATAAACTTAATAAACAAATAACTTTCATTTTCATACTCGTTTTGTTTTATATCAGTAGTAAACGTTAATTGACATTTGGTTTCTTTAATTTTTATAACAATAATTTAAAAGTATGATAAGTTATTTTTAACTTATTGTTTTATTGCTTTTAAAAGTAGCATATTTTTTTAAAATATACTAACACAAATAATTTGTAAATAGGTTCATAAATTATGTCAAAAAAACACTTCGAAATATCTTTATTATTATATGGATATATCTCCTGCAAAACTGTTTTAACAGACGCTTCGGTTGTTTATAATATTTTGCCATTATTTACGAATTCTTTGTTTGCATAAATTAAGTACCAATAAATAAAAAGTTGTTCGGTTTGCCTCTAACAACCAATCAGATTTGTTTAAAATTATCGGCTTTTTTTTTTTACGAGTTTGTTTGTTCTATGCCTTAGTTGCATTGAGTACCTAAGTGTTAACAACCCATTAGTTATTTTTTGGCCAGGATGAAATGTACAAATTGATTATTTCTAAAGTACACAATGCTTTTGTTACAAGCGATAATAATTCGACAAAAGACTTATAATATAGATTTTAAATGCATTTAACCAGAGCCAGTAAGAGCATGCATAATTGTTTGCTTCAATTCAAAATATGTATACATATGTATACATTATGTTATGATAGAAAATTAAATAAACTGAAGCGTAATAAGAGAAACATTTTTTATAGTTCTTGTACTTTGTTTTAAATACTTGTTTTTTCTTTCGTTTTTGGAGTAGAAAAAAAAAACACAGAAAATGAGACCGTATAATGCAAATAATATTTCAGTTTTCTTATAATTTTAAAGATAAATACACTCGTAAAGAGATTTCAAAATTTGCCAGGTCTTAAAACCCTGAATCTGTTTCATTAAATTGGCTAGATATATATATTTAGGAGGTACATTTTATAATTAGCATATTATAAGTATTTATAAAATGAGGAGCACATAATAATTTATGAAATTCAGATTTTATGAAAAATGTGAATTTCATTAATTATTTTAGAGTTAAAACATATCGAAATCTATTATTTTAAACTTGTTACCTTCAGGCTAAACAAAACATTCATGCATTTTATTCTTTGATAAAGTTTTTATGTTTTGTCGCTACATGGAAGCAGTCACAGATGTTATTGAAAATGGTTGTCTTGTAATTTTATAAAAAAACAAATGTAAGTGTTTAAAAATTATGCTGCAATGGTGTAGTGGAGGAGTGCTTGCTTCATAATCAAGAAATTCTGAGTTTGATCGTCCTTGAATTATGCTGTACGTCCCTGAATTATGCTGTATTGGTGTAGTGGAAGTGTTCCTTTTATAAGAAAGAATTTCTGAGTTTGATTTATCTACCACGGTAATACTGTGCTCAATATGTATCTCCATACAGCGGTCTTGTTTGTCAAGGTTTATGTTTTGGAGTTTAAGATTTAAAAAAAGGTTGTAATTACAATAATTAAATTTAAAAAATTTTAAAAAAAGTACTCAGACTGTAGTGGCCTCCTCCTGGGTGCTTAATATCCTCCTGGGTGCTTAATATCCTCCTGGGTGCTTAATATCCTCCTGGGTGCTTAATATCCTCCTGGGTGTTTAATATCCTCCTGGGTGCTTAATATAACATTTTAAAAAAAAAAGTATAGTTTACACAAATTTATTTATTATGATTAGAAAAAAATTATGAACACTATACTCGCAAGTGTGAATTTTTAAAACGTCATATTTTTCGTTTACTGTATTAAAAGAAATGGTTAAAATATAAACGTATATAAATGAAAATAAAATCTATATGTATAGAAGTATAGTTATAGTTGTTTTTAACATTATTTTTAAACTAGAAAGTAATAAATGTGCAAGATCTCCTCTTATTTATTTATGAAAAACCCGGAGTTATAATTAGCATATTATAAGTAGTATTTTCACCAAAAATCTAAAATGGCAGAATTTTTCAAAAATATCAGTGAAACTGCATTAATATTTTGATATAAGAGTATTTACTCTTTAAGGTTTAAACTTAATAACTTTTTTTTTATACAATTCAGAACACTTTTAAGCGAAAAATTAGGCTTATATAGTCGTTTGATTTACCAAGATGTGATAAAACCAATTACGTAAAACAGCATGGAATTATAATTTCTTATATTGTCAGATTAGATGAATTATTGATAAATTGCTTTTCCGTAGTTTTACAGGTTTTATCCAGTAGATGCAGATAATTTTGAAACCTATTCTGCAAAATAGTATAAAACAATAGCTGCGATGTTGTTACTCAAAAAAATTTTTTTTTTTTAAACAAAGTAGTTATAAATGGACTCTGAGTTATAAAAAGAAGCAGTTTTATTACCCGTTTGTTGTCGATTAACTTAATCGTCTACCTAACTGAGAACAAGGGTGGCTCCATAGAGGGAGGGGGCGAAATAGGCGATCTCACGAATTATAAAAAGTTTTATGATTCGTTGGCTTGCTTGCGTACAAATCATGAAACCTAAAAATGGACCACTTCTTTACTGGATGGTGTATCATTTTAATTTTTTATTATTATTAATTTTCATTTTTTTGCCTTACAGTTGTTCGACTAAAACTTAATAAATGTTAATTACAGTTAAACTCTTGTTATTTGAACTCCAATAATTCAAAAAATTATTTAAATCGAACAATTTCTTCGGTCCTTTCAGGGTTTAATATTTAAAATTGAACTTCTATAACCCATTGAGGATTCGGATTACATGAGTTCAACTGTAGTTCTTTTTTTCTAATTTAATTTTTTGAGCTATTTTCAGGGAATTGGATCTGATATGAATGATCCATTTGAGAACTTTAGAAAAAATAAAAGTTATTCATACAGCAGACGTAAGTTCACTGTGTGGATTATTTTAATGGAGTATTTAGTTTTATTGAATGCTTATTCGATTAGTTTTTCTCTCAAGATTATTGACTTGTTTTTTAATTTTAGCGAGATCGAGTTCGAAAAAGTAATTTCAGGTTTTATTTTGTGGCGAATTCTGTCAAGATAAAATGCAATGTATACATTGAGCAAGTGAGAGATATTCTGTGCATGCACGTTGATATAACAATGAATATCCACGGTGATTTTCAGCCGAGCCATAAAAAAGAGTTTAGTTTATAACCATATAACGAATGCTCATTATTTCAATTAACTGTTGTGTAAAAAAATCATGAAACAGTTTTCCGTTTTGTTGTTGCAAAATGCGGATTAATAATGCATAATGGCTGCTCGTATAGCAATAATTGAAATTATTCTTTTTCATTAGATATTGAATCTATTATGTGTTTTATATATATATATATATATATATATATATATATATATATATATATATATATATATATATATATATATATATATATATATATATATATATATATATATATATATATGTATATATATATATATATAATATTATGTTAGTATGTTTATTTTGTCGCAATAATTAATTGCCTGCATGAGTTTTCAGTTTACAAATAGAAAAATTTGTAACAAAAATTAAAATGCAAAGTTCATCTAATCACATGATCTGGCCAAGATGACTTACCATGCGTTTCCTGTTATTGACTTTATAAAATTTAAGAAACTACTAAGGACTCTATCTTATATATCACTCAAAAAGTTATTTGTAGATACGACCCATTAATAATAACCCTGATCGCATTTTTTATCTTTTTTTTTAAGCGTAAAAAATAACATGCGTTTAAGGTAACTCCACCCCTTTTTTTTTGAATTCTTTAAAAATTAAAAAAATGTCTTTTGTACTAAGTTTACTGTTGATATATTTAATGAAAACAAAAATTTGACAAAAATGCTGAAAAAAAAAAGCTGTGTCAGCAAAAATTATTAAAAAGTATCAAATTTTAAACATTAGTTTCTCAGAATCTGTAAATAATATTTGAACCAAATTTTGACAGTATAAAGGTAAAGTAGTAAAGAAGGTTCTGAACTTAAATCAAAATTCAAAAATGTACTAATCCATAATGTCTGACGATTATTTTTTAACATTGAAAAAAAAGGTCATTTTAGCAAATCAAAGTGCGATTACACAGTTTGTTCTAAATAGTTGTTTTACGTTCAGAACCTAGTTCCAATATTAAAAAAAAAGTCTGAAAATTCCAAGTCAATTGGTTAAACAGACGTACTAAAAACTGTTTGAATTTAAGTGAACGAAACAAAAACTTATTTCTGAGAAAAATTAAAAATGAAATAATTAGTATACAAACATAAAACTAGTGTGCCCCAGAACTATAAGTTTCACCCTCTGTCTCTTTTTCTTTGTCAAAGAATCCTTTTTTTAATGCACTCATACTTTTCTTCTGTTTTTTCTTTTTTTCGCTCATTTTACTATTAACTTGCTTGATACGAGTACTGTCCTTTTTTGTTGAATAGAAAAAAAAAGTATTTCCCAGGAGTCAAATTTAATAGTTTGAATACATGATTAAGTCCTATAATACCATTGTAGTTTATGATAGCAGAATATACTCCTATCTGTAAAATAGTTCTTGACACAAAATGAGACTTATTCCACTTATTCCAAATTAATTGGTGATTTGGCACTTATTTCAAATTAATTGGTTTAAAGCTTCATTTGGGTTTTGGGTAAACCCATGTAAGCACTTTTTCAAAAGATCTTCAGAGCCAAGATCTTTAAAGATACCTTCAATTTCTTTTTTTATAGCAAGAGGCAAATTTTAATGTGCTTTGTAGGTACTTGTACCTTCAAGTTTATCTTTTTGCCATTTACACCTGCTCTTTGTTGTTCGAGGCAAAACAAATGGCGACTTTCAGAATTTATGTCAGAACAATGATATAAAACAGCACCAACTGCACGCCTCATTAGGGGTAGTTCTTTATTCTGCCATCCTTTTAAAAGAAAATAATAACTTAAATAAAACTCTAGCTTACTTACATTTTAAATACTTATCTGATTAAACTTGACTTGTATTAAATATGATATGAGTGATTATGATACGATTAAATAAAATATTTATGAAATTATTCCATACGATTAAATATGACATTTACATTACTTACTTGACACCGCTCAAATCTTTGAATTGTCATTTGATGATAATAGATACAAGATTTACAAACAGGGATTAGTCTGTTTTGATGGAGAAAATTAATCACCCTTTCTATTTTAAAGCTTACAATGAATTCAGCAAGAGAAGTTAAGGGGTCGTCCATAAATTACGTCACACTTAGAGAGGGGGAGAGGAATAGGCGATTTTGTGACGATATGTTACGAGGGGGAGGGAGGTCTTAATTTTGTGACGCAGCTTTTTTTTTTTTTTTTAGAGAAGACTTTTTTTTAATTAAAAGAGTATATGATTAAACCAAAATCCTCAGTTGATGTATCTACATGTGGATTGTAAAATCAACTACGCCTAAATCTTACTTAGTCGATGTGCAGACTCCGTTAACGGAGTAGTTCAGCTTGTTAACGGACTGTTACGGCTGAAAATGCAGTGCACGTTCTGCGCTTTCAATTTATGTGGCTCAAGTGCAGAACTTTATTTAGTTGGTGCATAAAAGTGTGCAGCAACAAAAAACAATCTTTGTACACTAACTAAAAAAGAGTAACCTTGTACCGAGAGACGAATCCGGAACCTTCGGTTTACTAGCCGAAGGCAGAATCCACACGATATTATATATATATATATATATATATATATATATATATATATATATATATATATATATATATATATATATATATATATATATATATATATATATATATATATATATATATTCATATATATATATAACACTATTAAAAAATTGAATTAGTATTCATATAGCCAAGATAATGTTTTTTTGCAATTGTGGCATATTGTTTTTGTTTGTCTTCTACATTATTTGCAAGTTCGTCGTTCAACTCTGATCTTCTCCGCTTTGCGCGACCTTGGCTCCTATCTTTTGCGTTTTGAAGCCATTCCTTCACTGCGTCTTCTACTTCAGCAGCTGTAGCTTTTTTTGTCAATGGGTTGAGTCAAACTGCATCTAATGAAACAAAATAAAATTCAAATTTATTTATAAATTTCATAATGTGTCTTGTTAAATTTAACAAGTATAGTTTTTCAGCATAATTATCGAAAATTGGTTAAATAAGCAATCAATATAAAAGAGTCATTGCAGTATAATCTTTTAAATTTTTTATTAAAATTTTTAATAAAAAGTTTACGAGTTTACTGCTCTTTTTATTAAAATTTTTAATTTAAAGTTGGCGAGTTTACTGCTCTTAGACAGAGCAGTAAACTCGCCATCTCCATTGAGAGACGTGTCCTTAACCAATTTATAACTGCTCCATACCTCTCACCATTCTTCACGGACAGTTTATTTGCCAGTAGAGTTGTAAAGCGTCTACATTCATCTCCGAGTCCACCATTTGTACCAAAAATCAATTCGTTGAATGTACCATTTGTACCAAATTGTGTACCACCATCAAATTGTGTACAATGTACCACATTTTGTACGCAACTGTACAATGTACCACAATTGTAAAACCAAATTAAGAACAATGTACCATATTTTTACCAAAAATGTACCAATTATACCAAAAATCAATTGGGTGAATGTGTTCAATTTGTAGAGGTTGTTCTAAATATTCACGTGTTTTCGCTTCTTCGTGTCTACGGAATATCTGTTTTTTGGTTGTTTTTTGGAGGACTTGGAATTTACGTGCGTTACTCTAAAATCAAAAAATTTAGTTTCTCCTTTCCTCCAGGACCCTTTTCCTTTCATATTCAGTCTAGTTTTGTCGGTTGCATTGGCAGTTTTGAGATGAAATATTTTATTCAACGGAACATTCAATGGAACATTTAACGGAATTAAATGCGGCTCCGCTCGAACATTAGTACAAACTTGAAAATAATTGAATTAAAAATGCTTAATGGGAAGGACGGAAGCTAATTGAACGTCCAAAGGACGTCTTTTTTACGCCCCTACCCACTGGGATAAAACTATATGATCTCAAAGATAAAAACTGATATTATAAAGTCTTCATTCGACAAAATGGTCTTTACAGCTTATTTTTTTGTCATCGCTTCTTTATGTAATAGTTATTGTGTACTTTTATCGCTAAAAAAAAATTTTTTTTTTTACATATTAAAAATTAAAATGCAGTTTTCAGTTTTCAATTTTAAGAAACACTTTTCAATAATTTTTTAATTTAAAAAAAAAACAAATTAAAAAAAAGTTAAGTTTCTTTTAAGAAGAATATTGAAAGTTTTCTTTATTTTAGATGATTATCTTTTAGTTTTTCATTTCATTTTATCTATTATCCTATAAGAAAATGGAGAAAATCAATTTATGACAAATTGTGCAATATTTTCGGGTATCGAAAAGCACGTGATATTATGGTGTACATCATATTAAAAAAAACAATGAAACATCTGACAGTAGAAGTTAGGTTTAGGTTAATTCGGTTGTTTAAAAAAATGATTTGAATCACCAGCTAACCAAGAGGGTTTAATAAATGAATCAGGAAAAAAAGATTAATCAAATAAATAAAGTTTAATGAATTCTCGCATTAAATAACAATTGATAGCAAACATTCTTAATTAATATTTGAATTTTTAAATCAATTAGTAAAAGTGATTCAAACGGAATCTGTCAAAAAAATATTCTTAGTTGCACCAAGAACGTTCAATAGATAGGGGTCATCCATAAATTACATCACGCAATTTTTGACATTTTTTGACCCCCTTCCCCCCCCTCCCACTCCTCTCCCCCTCCTCTCGTAATGCATCTGTAACCCTCAATATTACGCAACAATTGTGTACCAAATTGTTTTTTGGAGAACTTGGAATTTACGTGCGTTACTCTAAAATCAAAAAATTTAGTTTCTCCTTTCCTCCAGGACCCTTTCCTCCAGGACCTCCTTCCCTAAAAAAATTTTAAAGTTTTTTTAGGGAGGGGAGGGGGATGCAAAATTTTACAAAATACAAAACAATTTTAAGTATAAAAATGTCTATAATTTTCAACAATAAACAAAGCGCAGAAAACCACAACGCACATTTAAAACAAAGTTATGCCGTAGTAAATTTTCTAGCCAAATATAACACGTCAACCTGACGTCGGGCCAACGTGTGCTTGTTTTCTCGTGTTAATTTTTAAACTACTGAACAGTTATTGTTCCGTTGTTTAAATTATTTAGCTTAATATTATCCAATTATTTTTAGTTTAATTTTTTATCATGGTTATTATTATTTTTTTGTTGCAAAAACTAACTTCTATACTTAATAAATAATGTACACAA